CTCCCACAGACAAATATGACTCAGATTAAATTTTCCTCTATTAATTGTAGGGGCTTTAACACTCCGGAGAAGCAGAGCCAGATGCTCTACCATTTCCATAAACATGGATCGCAGATCTTGTTCCTCCATGAGACTCATTTTCGCTCTGATGGTATCCCAGTCCTCCACAATTGTTATTATAATCAGTGGTATCATAGTACTAAGCCGCAGGCTAGGTCTAGGGGGGGTGTCGGTGGCCTTTCATCATACCTTCGGCCTGGAGGTCTTGGACTCCCTAGTTGATCCAACTGGTCGCTACCTCTTCCTTAAATTGAAATACCAAGATTTTGTTTTTACAGTGGTGAACGTTTACGCTCCCAATCAAGATCAGGCTCCATTTCTTGCAGCAGTCCTCTCTAAGCTGTCCGCTTTTGGGGGTCCCTGTTTCACTGTCGGAGGGGACTTCAACGTAGCTCTCTCCCTTGACTTGGACACTTCCGTGGGTAAATCTTCTCTCTCCTTATCGGTCTTATCTCATATTAAGTTGCGTTTGCATGACTTACATATAGTGGACGTTTGGCGCATCCAACATCCTTCGGAGCAAGACTATAGTTATTATTCTGCAGCTCATGTGTCATACAGTTGTATAGACTATTTCTTTGTTACACAGTCTTTTCTAGATTGTCCGACTTCATCCTCTCTCGGTAATTTTTTATGGTCAGACCATGCCCCAATCCATCTTACGATTCAGGACCCGACCATCATCTTTGTGTTGCTTTTCGTGGCACTTGAACGATACCCTACTCAAAGATTCTCTATGTATCGTGAAGGTCACGAAGACTATCCAGGACTTTATTCTGGACCACACATTGGACACTACAGGCGCTCTCACTCAATGGGAGACCCTCAAATGTGTTCTTAGAGGGGTTCTTATTAAACATTCTCACTTAAAAAAAGCTCATACGACGGAGATGCGTCGATTATTTTCACTCATTGCATGTCTAGAATCATCCCAAAAACATACGTTGGACCCAGTGCTCACAGTGGATCTAACGCTTGTAGAGCTTGGAGACTTACTCCAACTTTTAGATTCTTCCTCCCTTGTTGCATGAGACAAAAGCAAGCAACACTCATTACTTCTTAGCTAACAAATATAGCCAACACCTGGCACGTGTACTCCACCCTCATCTGTCCTGTCGTCCGATCCAGGCGCCTAACAATACTAAACTCTACCACAATAAGGAAATCTGTTCTGCATTTGAGTGTTATTATTTTCAACTTTATAATCTCTCCTCGGCGAATCCTGATGCTCCTCCCGTTTCCTCCCTGCCGGCTATGTCCCAATATATTGCGGAGATGGCGTTACCTGCTCTAGATGCCCAAGATGCATTGGATCTAGAGGAGCCCTTCTTGATTATAGAAGTTCTTGGGGCAATTAAGGCCCTGAAAACTGGTAAGTGCCCGGATCCGGACAGATTCACCCCGTGATTTTACAAAACATTCCCTGCCGCAATTGGCCCCCGCTTCTGGCCCAAGCTTTTAATGTTATCGATGATCTGAATGTGCCTTTATCAGCTTTTTTGTCCGCCACTATTTTGGTTATCCCTAAGCGGGTTAAAGACCCTTCTCTTTGCGGTAGTTATCGCCCAATTTCTCTACTTAATCTGGACATTAAGTTTTTTGCTGTACTTCCAATGAACCGCCTTTCCCCTTATCTACCAACCTTGATCCACCACAATCAGGTTGGCTTTGTCCCAGGTCGGGAAGCTAGGTTTAATACTTCTAAAATGATCCATCTTATCTCTTATATAAAGCAACACGGCTTAAAGGCTTGCCTACTCTCATTTGATGCCGAGAAGGCGTTGACTGGCATTTTCTCTGTCTTACCCTGTAACAGATTGGTTTGGGTTTGCGGTTCCTCGCTCAGATTATGTCCCTCTACTCTGATCCTTCAGTGTCTCTCCTGGTCAATGGTACGATTTCTTCGCCCTTCCCTATATGGAATGGGACCAGACAAGGATGTACCCTCTTCACTTTGTTTTAGTAATGCAAAATCTTGCAAGAGCCATATGAGCTAACGACTCAATCTTGGGCATCCACACTCCCTCCGCACACCACAAATTATCCTTATACACTGATGACCTTCTAGTTTACGTTCAACAGCCACTTATTTCCCTCCCCTGACTTTTCCACAAATTTCATAGATTTGGTTCCTTCAGTAACGTTCAACTTAATATCTCTAAAATAGAGGCCCTAAAATATTTCTTTCCCTGCCCATGTGCTGGCAAACCTACGCTCTAATTTTTCCTTTCAATGGCAATCAAAGGCTATCACGTACCTCTGGGTCACGATTTCGGCCGATCTTAATGCTTTATATTTCCTTAATTATTTACCCTTACTTTCACGTATCCGAAAAGATCTGGCTTCATGGGGCACTTCAGCCCTGCCCTGGTTCGGCCGCATCAACATCCTCAAGATGGATACCTTACCCAAGTTACTATACGTTTTTCAGATGGTACCGATCACTGTCCCTAGGAGTTTTTTCCTTTCTCTGCTCTCCATTTCGACTAGATTTATTTGGCACTGTGGGTTTTCAAGGTTAAAACACAGGTTGCTTACTTACCTGAAACTCGGTACTGGAGTGGGTTTACCAGACTTTGAGCTTTATTACAGAGCCATGTTACTAGCCTGGATGCTTCCCAGACTCTTCCGTAAAGCCTCTTGTATGATTGAACAAGATCTTTCTCAGGTTGATCTTTGGGCATTACCATGGGGGTATGACCAGGACTATCGGCGTTTTTCTGGCCTGTCCCCTTTGACTTTAGCTGTAATGTGGTTTTGGTATAAACGGGGCATTATTGCTCTCTAATCCTCTGATCCCTCTCCCTTATCACCCCTGAAGAAAAGTCTGTTGTGTTTTTTTCTGTCCGCAGCCCACCAATTGATACCCCTCTTTTGGAAAATGGCCACTCCCCCACCCTTTCCAATGTGGGTTTCTGTGCTTAATGATAACATGTGTATGCAGGAAATGCTGGCGTTTGCCAATGATACCTATGATAAATATAAGGTGCTGTGGTCGGTCTGGTTCCATTTCTCCTCCTCTTCGACACTCTGAGATATATGTTCCCCTGTTGTGCCCTAGTGCAGTTGAGCTCACTCATTTTCATTTTGACTTGTTGGCTGGTTGGGCCCTGTGGTCCGTGCCAGGATGTGGGTGGTGGGGTTGCTCCGGTGAGATACAGGTGGGGAGCCAACTTGATTCTGCTTTCTGCTGTTTCCATCTCCCAATCCCCTCCCTTCTCTCTCTTCTCCTACTTCGCTATCCTTTCCACTGGCTTCCTTTTTTTTTTTCTTTTCCCTTCTCTTTCTCAGTTTGGGTTTACACTCTTGTACGGTTGTACGGAGCTCTCTCATCTTATTCCATACACCTGGGGATACCCCCCTGAAACTATGTTTTGTTATATCTCCGTAATATGGGTTATTGATCATTCCCTCTTGCTGTTGTATTGCATCATTTTCTTCCATCTACATGGATCATTGCCACACCTGTGATGTTTGTCTGTTTACTTACTTGTACATGTTCTTTTTCTTTCTCATGCTTTGTTCTGTTAAATTTGTGAAAAAATAATAAAGACAAATTTGCCTTTAAATACTACAGCTCTGCTCCACATAGGCTGTTATCTGATCATTCAGCTTCTGAACACTCTGCCAAATGAACGATCTATGCAAGATGAAGGTAGGAAAAAAAATCAACGTCTGAGTTTTAAGTGAGAATGATGATCACTCTATTAGATTCGTGTGCACCTATGCAGGTGGGTGTGAGCCATATAGTTGCATAGTTAGTCTGGCTGAAAAAAGACAAAAGTCAATCCAGTTGAACCCTAAAGAAAAAAATGTTATAATCCTACAACCACAGTTAATCCAGAGGAAGGCAAATACCCAGCAAAGCATGATCCAATTTGCTCCTGCAGGGGAAAAAAATCCTTCCCGATCCCCCGAGAGGTAATTGGATATTCCCTGGATCAACGTTACCTATAAATAGTAACCAGTTATATTTAGTGTATCCAAGAAAGAATCTAGGCCTTTTTTTTAAAGCAATCAACTGAGCTGGCCAGAACCAACTCTTGAGGGAGTCTATTCCACATTTTCACAGCTCTTACTGTGAAGAAACCTTTCCATGTTTGGAGATTAAACTTCTTTTCTTCCAGACATAAAGAATGCGCCCCCTGTCCTCTGTGATGACCTCAGGGTGAATAACTCTAAAACGAGTTCACTATATGAACCACTGATGTATTTATACATGTTGATCATATCCCCCTTATCTCCTCTTCTCAAGAGAGAATAAAATCAGTTCCTCTAATCTTTCATCATAGCGGAGCTCCTCCATGTCTCTTATCAGTTTAGTTGCCCTTCTCTGCACTTTTCTCCAGTTCCCCAATGTTCTTTTTGTGAATTGGTGCCCAAAATTCAACTGCATATTCCAGATGAGGTGTTACTAATGATTTGTACAGGGGGTAGAATGATATATCTCTTTCTGGAGTCTATACCTCTTTTAAGACAAGAGGGGATTTTGCTTGCTTTAGAAACCGCAGCTTGGCATTGCATACCATTATTAACTAGTTGCCGACCGCAGATAGCCGAATGACGGCTACACTGCGGCCGGCCAGTTCTGAGTGGACGTCATATGACGTCCTCCCAGAACGCGCTCTCCTGCGCGCCCCAGGGGGCGCACACACCCGGCGATCTGGTAAAAGGCCAATCACAGCGGCCTTTTACCACGTGATCAGCGGTGTCCAATGACACGCTGATCAGAGGGAAATGCAAGTGCCGGTTCTCGGCTGCACTTTCCTCACGCTGTCAGATCGTGAGGAAAGTACTGCCGAGAACGGCAGTTGTCAGAGCGGGGATCGGCACCGATCATCAGGGCACTTATGATCAGTGCCCTGATGATCGGTGCCCAGCAGTGCACCCAAGTTCCGCGCACCTGTGCCCAGCAGTGCGCCCACTATCACCCACCTGTGCCCAGCAGTGCACCCACCTGTGCCACTCTGCAGTGTCACACACCTGTGCCCAGAAGTGCCACCCACCTGTGCCCACCCACCTGTGCCCACCAGTGCCACCCACCTGTGCCCACCCACCCAGTGCTACCCACCAGTGCCACCCACCAGTGCAGCCCAGCAGTGCTGCCAGTCAGTGCCACCAGTCAGTGCCCAGGGGTTGTGCCAGTCAGTGCCGCCAGTCAGTGCCCAGCAGTGATGCCAGTCATGCCGTCTATCAGTACCCATCATCAGTGTCACCTATCAGTGCCGCCTATCAGTGCTGCATATTAGTGCCGCCTATCCGTGACACCTCATTAGTGCTGCCTATCAGTGCCGCCTATCCGTGCCACCTCATTAGTACTGCCTATCAGTGCCCTTTAGTGCTGCCTATCAGTGCCCATCAGTGCCGCCTATCAGTGCCCATCAGTGCTGCCTCATCAACGCACATCAGTGAAGGAGAAAAAATACCTGTTTGAAAAATTTTATAATAGAAACAAAGAAACTTTTTTTTTTTTTTCAAATTTTTTGCACTTTTTTTATTTATAGCGCAAAAAGTAAAGTGCCCAGTGGCGATTAAATACCACCAAAAGAAAGCTCTATTTGTGAGAAAAAAATGATCAAAATTTCATATGGGTACAATGTTGCATGACCGCGCAATTGTTAATCAAAGTGCGGCAGCGCTGAAAGCTGAAAATTGGCCTGGTAATAAGGGGGTATAAGTGCCTGGTAGGCAAGTGGTTAAGCTTGTGATGTACCAGAACCCCCAGATCCTTCTCCACCATTGATTCCCCCAGTTGTACTCCCCCAGTATGTATGATGCATACATATTCTTAGCCCCCAAGTGCATAGCCTTACATTTATCAACATTAAACCTCGTTTGCCACATAAATGCCCAATTAAACAGAGAATTGAGGTAAGCTTGTAAGTTGGAGACATCCTGTAAATACGTTATTCCACTGCACAGCTTGGTGTCATCTGCAAAGACTGAAATGGGATTTATAATCCCAGACCCTATATTGTTTATAAATATTTTAAAAGTAAGGGTCCCAACACTGAATCTTGGGGTACACCACTGACAACCCTAGACCATTCAGAGTATGAATCATTAACCACTACTCTCTGAATACGATCTTTTAGTCAGTTTTCTATCCATTTACATACAGATTTTTCCAAGCCTTTAGACTTTTCTTTACACATTAGCCTTGTATGGGGAATTGTGTCAAACTCTTTTGCAAAATCCAAGTATACCACATCCACTGCCACCCCTCTGTCCAAGGTTTTGCTCACCTCCTCATAAAAAGAAATCAGATTTGTTTGACAACTTCTGTCTTTCATGAATATCCTAGAGTGGGAAAGGTAGTGGCATGGTGTGTGTTAATGAGGTCAGCTGATTAATTTTTCCTGTGTCTTACTGGTTTTCTCAACCTAAGGTCTGTCTAGGAGGTAATGGATAAGTTATCCGTAGATCAAACTGATGCCTAGGTAAATGCTGGTGTGAGATATCACAGAATATTTTTTTTCTTTTAAAAAGAGGCATGTTAATGCTTTATTGGTACATAGGGAATCTGGAATTTAGAAAAAAAAGGTGAACGTAGCCTTTAAAACACAAAACCCAAACAAATTTGGGTGGAGGAAGAAAAAGGGAAGGAGGAAGAGTAGGAGGAGGTGAGGGGGAGGTGTAGGAATAGGTTAAGGAAGAAAGTAAGTAGGAGGAAGTAGAGATGAAAGGACAGTATGATTATACATTTACTTTTTGCTGCTGCCTGCCCTTTCCTTTGGCTGTAGGATTTCTAACTGCATTTGCTGCTCTCTGCCCTTCCTCATTCATTGTGGAAGGGAGGGCAATCTATAACCGTAGGTTTACCACCTGCTGCTATAGTTCAGTGGCGAGACTATAATTAAGTAAATAAAAATATAAAATATATAAATATACACCCGTTTCTGATTACCAGGGAGGAGAAATATGATGTTGGCAAAGCAGAGGAGTTGTGAATATGCTCAGTCTTGCATCAATACTAGAAATGAGCGAATTATTCAAAAATTCGATTCGACTGATTCGGCGAATTCGTGAAAAAATTTTGTTTCGAGTCGAATATATTCGCTGCGAATTTAACTTATAAGGGGGTGTTTCTAGGCTTCAGAGAGCCTTTATATTAGTGCAGAACACTGTACCTTTAATTTAAATGCCCTTGGAGTCTGCTGGGGAAGAGAAATAATACTATCAGTCAGTATGACATGCTGATGAGTGCCGTCGATCTTAGAATCACCGCACACTTCACTCATTTGGGCAGTCACGGGGCCAAAACCAGAGTGTGGAGCCACAGTGTGGCGGTGGGAGGCAAGCAGCAATGGGAGGCCATACAGCAGCCCTATGACAAAATGGAACCCACCAGCAGTTGTGAGGAGACCTTGAAAGTGGCACATGGCAGAGTGTGGCGATGGAGACAGCAGCAATGGGAGGCCGTACAGGGACCCATGAGACACTCTGGACCTGGCAGCAGCAGCATGAGGAGGCGGGTACGGGGGCCCATGGCAGATTACGGGCCTGGCAGCAGCAATGGGAGGCCGTCAGGGACCCATGACACACTGGCAGCAGTCAACGATGTACACGGAGGACTGATCAGCCATTCTGCAACCGTCGGGTGCGTGCTCGCAAACTGTGTTTGTCCTCTTGGAAACGGATTCCAAGCAAGACTGCATGACTGGAAAATCCGAGAATAGGAGAAGCATGATGAAAGAGCATCTGAACGAGTCGGAATATGCCAACAAGCGACAGTACAGGTGGCCCCATGGACCAGAATACGGGCCTGGCAGCAGCATTGAGTGAAGTCCCCCCCCCCCCCCCCCCCCCCCCAGTACGGGTGCGCCATGGCATATTACCGGGGCCTGGCAGCAGCAAATGGGAGGCCATACAGCACCCTATGACAAAATTGGGAAACCCACCAGCAGTGTGAGGAGACCATGAAAGGTGCACAATGGCAGAGTGTGGCGATGGAGACAGCAGCAATGGTAGGCGGTACAGGGACCCATGAGTACACTGTGTGACCTGGCAGCAGCATGAGAGGAGGCGCGTAAACGAGGGGCCCCATTGGCCGATTAAGGGCCTGGCAGCAGCAATGGGAGGCCCGTTAATCTGCCAGCCCATCCCTATTACAAAAATGGAACCTGCTGGGCTGGGGCAGTCAGAACCGCGCCGTATCTTTAATCACGGTTTTTCCCCAGGCCACCCAAATATGGCGAACGCTGAGTCATATGCTGACGCCACACGCTGTAAGTCTCCCCAACATGGGCCCCCCTTTCCACGCTTGAACTTTCTGGCCACATAGTCGACATAACCGGCTACGTTTACTTCCTCGGAAGCGGCATTGAACGATAAATTGCCACAACCGTCGAGTAGGAAACTGCCCCCGATCACTCCTCACTGGCTGACTGCTACTTTCCCTCTAGTGCATAACTCGGCAACCACTACTGGGCCGAGGTGGTCAGGCTGAGTGAGCTGGAGCTCTACTCCTGGCCGTTCTTGCCTCCAACTGACAACTGCTGCGACCCTCTGCCTCCTGGCAGCAGCAATGGGGGGAGGAGGCGGGCCAGGTGCCCATGGCAGATTTAGGTGGCCTGGCAGTCAGCAAAATGGGAGGCCCTTAATCTGCCAGCACCCTATACAAAAAAAAGGGAAAACACCCCCGCAGTGTTGAGGAACCTGAAAAGTGGGACATGGGAGAGTGTGGCATGGGACGCAGCAAAGGAGGCCGTACAGGGACCCATGAGACACTTGGACCTGGGAGCGCATAGGGGGCGGTACGGGGCCCATGGGAGATTTGGGGGCCGGCAGCAGCAATGGGGGGCCCGAATCTGC